TGAAATAGACATTCTTACGAATTACAATTTCTCACATTAAAAAATATGTATTCCAAATGCAATTCACGCAAAATTACTACATTATATTAAAGTACCACTCTAATACAATTTAAAAAAAAATTAAAGTGCGTCAATAACGACTTAAGTAAAACGATTTTTGATATGCCGTTGTTCTATCATTTTCCATAGTGCGTTGTCATGATGAAGCATGATCCTACTGCGAGGTCATTTCTCCCGAACTTTTCCAAAACGAGTAGCATGAAATTGTTGGTGTACCTACCATTCCGCAGTAATTTCATTTTTAACAGCAATAGTCGCGTGACCTGTCTGTCCGAAAAATGAGGCTACCATCTTCTTTCCCACGCTTCGTCCTCGCTTTACTTTTGTAGGCAATTCTAAAGGAAACACCCACTAAGCAGACTGTCTTTTTAGTTTCTGGGTCGTAACAGTAAATCCAGCTTTCATCACCCGTGACTACATCTAATACAACATTTGAGTGACCTCGGTCAAATTTTTGTAACATTTCACGACACCAATCAACACGACGGAGTTTTTGGATTTCGGTCAAATAAAGAGGTTTCCACCGAGCACAAAGCTTCCTGACCGCTAAATGTTCATGAAGAATTTTGTGTATTTGACTTATATCAATGTCTAAACTTGTCCGGATCTGCTGGTAGGTCACTCTTTTGCCAGGCTGTATAATGAGCTGCACAGCACAGTTGAAGGCCGTCTGTCGCGCAGAGCATCAGAAAAATTGGTGCGACCACGTCTAAACTCATTAAACCAGTTATAAACAGTGGCACGGGACGGAACTTCATCAATAAAGGCCGACCGAAGCCAATAATAACTTTCTTATTGACTTAAATCACAACGAATGTCATAGAAAATCATTGCACGAAAATTTTCTCGAGTTCAATTCATGTTGAGTGAAACAAATAATTTTCAACTTGCCGCCAATTTGTAAGAACAAATAGCAAACGAAAGAAATATACTCGTTAGGGATGTCGAAAAGTTAAATTTTTAAAATTTTAATATTTTATTAAATTTTAATGTTTCAAAGTAGCCATTTCTAAAAACTTGCAGTGTCGCCCTCGTACACGGTGATATTGATGACCCTGACTTATTGTGCGATATTTCTTACAACAAGTGGTTGTCGCTGTAATTCCCTTGGCATGGATTAATTTACAGACATTATAGTTTTCTTTGTAGAGCCGGCAGTTTGAACAATGTGCTGAATAATTATGATCTGGAGTCAAAAGTTCGAACCAAAAATATAATTTACTTATTTGAAGAATACCAGACTGTAATGACACAGGTAGGCTGACCGCTTTATAATTAAGTGTCGTTAAGTTCTTGTTATATATGTATTTATTGTTTGTGGTTATATAAGCTCGTGTCTGATTTTTGCTAGGTTGTTACTAGTTTTGCATGAATTTTCCTGAACAGCTTTCGAGAAGCCATGTTATGACTTGCGGAGCTGTGACGTGAAATGGCGTAAGCTATGCTTGGAGTTTCTCTGATGGACAGGATTCGTAATGAAGTCATACATTAGAGAACTAAAGTCACTGACATAGCTCGCAAAACCAGTAAGCTGAAGTGGAACTGGGCCAGTCATGTCTGCAATTGAGGCGATGGCCAGAGCAGACTTTTTCTATAGTGGCTACCCTACCCGCCATAGCAAACATGGTGTAGGATGCCCTACGGCTAAACGTACGACCTGAGGAAGGTGACCGGCTCTAGAGAAAGGCAGTAGATGGGTATAAGCTATAAACTTTCGCAACGCCCAGGGTTTTGTGTTTTATACTTTAATAAAAATGTATTTACCAAAAACTAGAGCTCCTTTGATAAAAAGTGTAATTACTTACAACTTGAAAGAGCTTTTTTAACGAACTACTTATACCTACCTACTCACCTGTCTACCTGCCGTTTACAAGATACATTTATTACAATTTTCTTATATAATAAATAAATTAATAATAAATAAATTTTTATGATAATTAAATATTTGTGATAATTCTTATCATTTTCCATTTCTATTATTTCTATTTTCGCGACGAAACCTTCTTAGTTTAACATTTTATTTTTTATTTTCCTTAATGATGTATATCACCTTTGTCTGTATCATATTTGTTTTAGTTTTTTTGTTGGAAAAGAGTCTTGTTTTTAAATACCTTTAAAATATACGGAAATTATCTCCCAATTCAGTAAGTGTTTTATTAAGGGAGCAAATGCTGCGGCCCGCCGTATCGTCTGTCCATATACCTGACATTATCCCGAACACCTGGCGACCGTTGTGATTAAAGAAAATGGATAGAATACTATTAGATCGTAAATTAGCGAGACAAAGAAGACTCTTAGCGCAAATAAATTAAAAGAAAATGTTAATAAAAAAGAGAAGTTGAATATTTGTGCAGAGTCAAGAAGTTGAGTATGCATCATGACGAGTTAATTGCGGCTCAAAATAAATATTTCAATTCGTTGTTGGAGAGCGACAGTCGTGATGAACAATACATAGAGTAGGAGAGCGATGTTGCCGATGAGTATGAGATTACAATTGGTTATAGATCAAAAACATCTCGAAAAAACAAAACGATCTCAAATATTAATTAAGTCAATGGCTGCTTAGAAAAAGTAATGGAACTTTGTCTAATAAGACAAGCTGGACGAACTAGTGAATTACAAAATTAGCGAATCAAAACTTAAATGAAACTTGTACTTGTACTTGATTCAAGAGCACGTCAAGCTAGACAAAAGATTTAAATTCAACTTATAAATAAATAATGAGAGGGTAGCATTTTAATAACGGTACCAGCTTATATTAAAGGATGACTGTAGTCATGAAAAAACATACATTTCAGCTTAGAACCTTTATCATAAAAATTTTTACTGTTCATAAAATTTTACGGCCATTATTTTTAAACAATAGATATTTTATGCATAAAACCGCCGCACGCTGTACGCAGAGAACTGGGAGGAGATCGCATAAGACAGCGCGCTGGCGTCTACTCGTATTGGAGACCAAAACCCACCTTTAGGTCGCTGAGCCAGCGGATTAAGTAATACGGAATATTATTTATTGATATAACCTTGATTATGAACACAACACTACCTGATGTATAACGAAAACGGTATCTATCAGTCCATGAATCCGGGCAGACTGCACGAGTGTTAGTCGGGTTAGTCCTCCAACTCCACGCAAGCAGTGCTATCGGAGTGGAAAGCATAAGTCTCTGAGGACAAAGCGTGGAACTCCTCGGTAAGAAACTTTCCGTTCACCTCGTTGTAGGTTCTGGTAATCAGGAAATTGACAGCTATTCCTTCCAAAAAGCCAACTGAAGGTGTAAAGTTACCAACCTCCTGGGGACACGGTCTTCGATGACATTTTGGACATTTGTATTTTTAACCCCCTACACAAAGAAAGGGGTTCATGGAGGAGGAGTTTTGACCGAAAGGGTGTCGTATACCGGAGATTCTGAAGTCGGTTTCCAGACACCATATTGCGCCACACATCGCCGACAAGTGCAACTAGTTATTTAGTTTTTTATATTATATTGCATGTATGTTATCTTTTGTATGGGTCGTAGTTGCTTGATTTTAATAAATAAATAAAATTAACATAAGTATGAAACCTTTGTATTTGCGAGACTTCTGTGGCATCGTGGCTCTGATGTGGCTTGGATGGACTGACCTCAAGACGGTTTTTTTTAGTTCGAAGTTTAATTTAATCGGGATGATTCTTAACTACGTTTGATGAACTTCAGTTATTTAAAGATGATTAACTCTTTTTAGGGATGGACTTACGATTCGACTTTTATGAAGATCGATTGAATTGCATACGATCTAGCGATATTTTTAATCGATTCAAAATTAAGGCAAATCGAATCGTTTAGATCGTATTCATAATTTCAATAAAAGTCTGATCTTATTAATGATTTCGTCAAGCACAGAAACGAAAAATCGAATCAAAGCAAAACATCGTGCATCCCTAGCTCTTATCTCCGTAAGTTTAGGGGTTTCAGTCGTTAAATGAATATTATTTATTTTACTTTCACGCTTGTTCAGTCGGCTTGAAATTTGATATTCCATTGAAATCAGATAATGTTACAATGACATGGCAACTTTGATCTGATGCTGCAACCGGAATAATCTGCAGATTGCACAACTTCTCAACCATTTACACCAAAATTGCCGTGTTTGGGCTCACGACGATTCGTTACCTTACGGACGTTGACTTTATTAACATTTTGAAGTACAATATTTTGTACCGGGGGTTTATTTCACGCTCATCGGCATCTCATCTACGTATAGGGACCGTGAGAGGTTAAAATAACCGGCATAACACACCAAACTTTGCATAGCCCGTTCACGCCCCAGGCGGCAAATGCTATGTATTTGGCAGAAGAAAACATGACTCGAACTTGGTTTTTAGAAATTTTAATGGCATACCTACCTACTTTTCTAGACCTAGAAGAAAAAATATACATTTGGAATAAAAAAATACTTTAATTTCAAATCGAATTTAAAAGTTATAAACTAAGCAAAAAAAACGGTTAATGTAAAATGTGAATATACCCCGCATTGTGACTGGTGCGAGCTAAATGTAATAATTATTTCCATTAGGTCGCGCCGCGTTGAAATACCCGGCCCTAAAAATAATCCCAAAATGGAGCCAAATGCCAAAATGAGACCGAAAACGGTTTATTTTCATCTATACGAACATATTCGTGATATATTATGTCTGTACATTTGGAGCGTTTTCTTTATTTAACGCCAGATAAACATAGGTACAAGTATTATAGAATAAATGATGGTTTTAATGTAGCGAATCGCAGCAGGCGCCGCAAACCATGGATTTATAGTCTTTTAACGTCTTTAATCTTTGTACTCAAGTTCTAAATTGTAACTGCTTCTAACTTTTGACCTATTTTGTTACCCTATCTTTGTCTTTGTCTAACTCATCTTCACTACCAACATTCATATAGTCCGCAACATCAACTTACCCAGTATCCCCAGTCTGAAATTGACTGTAATAACCATAATATTCCCATATGACGCGAGGATCCTCCCGTCGTAAGGATTCCCTGAACTCCACTCAAAGGAATCGCCGTGTATGAATACTAGAATCGGGAATTTCTTCGGCTTTTGATCTGAAACAAAAGGATGCACTGTATCAGCATAGTGTATTAAGATTAAGTATGGTAACTTTAAACAAACGTAGCACCGTTGCTTGTAAATTTGCGCGCCCGCGTGTCGTGTACAGATGCACACATTCGCATAATCTCGCGATCTATGGCGGGCGTGCACACTAGGGTTATTATTGATGCAGGTTTTTACACACCAGCGGATGCTCATGCGGATAATGATTTTTTGATCTTAACATCAGTGGATGCTGAAAGCTCTGCGTGGCACTGCAACTGTTATGGACAGGCGTGTCGCTTCCATCAGGCGCACGACATGTTCGTCCCGTCACTTAGTTATAAAAACAAAATCTATGGTATTGTAATAAAATATTATATCAATGATTTTGTGACATTTATTAACACAAGAATCAATCAATCTGCCTAGCCTATTCGTTGCGAAATGTTATCAAAATTATATGCTACAGAGTCAGCTTACAGACTGTAAATTATTCCAGCGTAGTATTTAAATCACGTCACGACTCGAACATCCATAATGAATATCAACATCGACGTATGCGGATGCTAGTGCAGATGCGGATATTTTAATTTTTGCAGATTATCCACGGATGCGAATGCTGACATTTGCAACAACCCTAGTACACACATACAAACCAGGCTGCTACGTTTTTATGGAGTTACCATACATTAGATATCAATCTCTATCACTGTGGTGTGCGTGTGCGCGATATGTTATGCGTTACGTTTAGACTAGTTTGTCGCTGATTCAAAATGAATTTCGTATCGAAATCATTTAATATAAATATTAACCTTTATTTTATCAAAACCATTGTCCACTAAACAACAGTAGACCCAGTCACCTATGTCCATGCCTTGTGTCAGGAGAAACCGCCCTTCACTAGCTACACGTTTTAAATTACACTTAAATTAGTTTACGCTTAAATTAGTTTGTAATTAATTACCTATGTTGTGGATATTCCAAAGATTCGCACGCTTCCACATTTATATGGCGAACGGCTATGGAGTGAAATTCCGTGCCTGCAGACTTGTTCCCTGAACGTTATGACTTGGACCTTTTCAAGGCGAGATTGAATAGGCATTATTTAGATGTGCATGCTCTAGTGTCGACCTCATCGTCACTTTCTTTCAGGTGAGATGAAGGTCAAATGCGCCCGTACATTTGTATAAAAAAAAGTAAACCAACTTAAACAAAATTATATACATACTTAGAATAATAACGCATAGAAACCTAGTCCGCACACGCTAAGTGAGGGAAATTGAAGCGCTCCCAAAGGGCCTACACGAGCGGGCGGGCCTTCAGTGCTCAAGGTCAACTTGCACCGCGAACAGCTCCAGAATTTCAGCTAAAAATGACGAAATGTGCGGTAAATGAGTATAAAAATACGTCAGACAAACATAAAATAGATACTAACATCGAACACTAAAACCGAAAATTAACCTACTACTAAAACTAGCCTACATGAATTTGATTTTTGCCTTACTTGTGACAGTTCGTTTGATATGAAACTATCATTCTATGCGTTATTATTCTAAGTATATATATATATATATTATTATTCATAACTGCTTTGTGAAATATAGAGTATGATTCCAACTCTCGGTAAGAAACGAATCCTACACATTCTTCACGTATGTTATTGGCAGCAATTTATAGGATTCTTAACCTTTTTCTAGTCATGGACCCCTCTCAAAATGTCAAAGAGCCCACGGACCCTTTCCGAAAAGATAAAAGAACTAGGTTTAACTTTTACTAGCTTATATTGTTTGCGGTTAAAGTTTAGTTAATTACATATGAATAGTTAGTGTGACAGTTGCTGTTCCATTATGTAAGATGGGCTCGCCACGGACCCCCGGCGTTCATTACACGGACCCCTTAGGGGTCCATGGACCACAGATTAAGAAACCCTGGGGGCCTTTTTTTTTTTTTTTTTTTTTTTTAACCCGGAGAAATGCGTTACGCATACCACCGCGCCCGGGGAGGTGCGGGGTTATGTGGGACTCTTTTCCAGAAAGGAAGCCTACCCACCAAAACTCCGGGGTGTTCCAACCAGCCGCTTAGTGGGGGTTATGGTACCGGTTACCCATTACCCACGACCCCCAAAGAGCGGACGTTCGCGGCCTTTGTTTGGCGCGCGAACCCTCTCAAGTGGCCCTTGCCACTGGTGCACCTGGGGGCGGCTTCCTGGAACACGTGGAAGTCGCCCTACCCTCTTGGGACTGAATGTTACGGGCGACGAGTAATCCCCGACTCGTCACTCGAGTCCCATTACGGTGGGAAAAGGCGCATTTCCGCGCGGCGCCTCCGCCCTGTCCTCTTCCGCCGGCGGGGATCAGCGAGGACGTCATCCTCTCTAATCCGCTCCGCCGTCTCCTTCCGTGTTATTACAACCTCACAGAAGGAGCTCACCGCCTCCCACGACCTCTCGCTTCCGACCATAGACTTGACTACTGCCGGTAATGAGAGATCGTGTCCCACCACGGCGACCATTGCCGCCCGTTCCTCTGCCCACTCTGGGCATTCCGCCAACGTGTGCTGCGCCGTATCTTCGGCGCAGCCACACTGATGGCAGATAGGGGTCGGCTCTCTCCCAGCGATCTTGTACAGGTATCTCCCGAAGCATCCATGCCCCGAGAGCACCTGTACCAGTCGATAGGTGAGCGGCCCCTTCCGCTCCTCCACCCATTCCTTAAGTATTGGCCGCACTGCCTCTACTGTACGGACGCCAGCAGTCGGGTCCTCCAGCCGTGTTTGCCATTTTTGGAACAGCTCCCGCCTCGCGTTCAGTCTCCACCTGTGAACGTCTTCGGGGTACAGGTCTGCCCCTTCCCTCCTGGCGTCAGCCCTATGGGTGTATACGGCCTTTAAGACCTCCGCCTCTAGGTCCCATGGGGGGGTACCCGCGAGGACGCACGCTGCCTCGTAGGACACGGTGCGATACGCCCTCGCCACTCTGATCGCCATGACCCGTTGCGGCCTCCGCAACAGCGTCCTGGTCTGGGCATTCAGAGCTTCAGCCCATATAGGAGCCCCATAGAGAGCCAAAACCCTGGGGGCCTACCACAACCTCTTAAAACAATGTTACTTTAACCTTACATTGATTTTTCGTACCATAGCGCGCTTAATGTAAGCTTATTGTAATGTTAAAACTATGATGTTTTATTGGCAGCTCTGTGACTATTCATTCACTCAGTTCGTATTATGATGCGACTTTAACATTAAAGTAATATTGCTCTTATGTCAAATTTAGCAATCTTAAAGTAGTTACACGGATGCAATAGAAACAATATTATTTTCAGTTTTAATGTCTTAATATTGATTTGTAATGATTAAGAGTTAAATTGAAATTATTTATCTCTTCAATATTTGGTTATTTTTTATTTAATAGCACATAGGAAATAATTTCTTGTTAAATAAAAACACGCGATGTTTCGTAAAATTATGACAACGCCATCTATAGCTCCTTGGCGAAACTAACGGTTGACACTAGTTCTTCATGAAAGTGCGGAATAATTATTGAAAACAACGTAATTTGAATAGATTTTATTATTACATGCTTTTCTTTTCTTAACAGTCAAAATTCTCTGAATGTAAATAACATTAGGTACTTAAACATTATACTACGATAAGACGATTCGGAACATCAAAAAATAAAGAGTTGGCATTATATAGTACAAATAGCATTATCTCTTTCCTATTTTTAATAAGGAATAGACAATATTGGGAAATCATTCGTTATTTCAGTCACTTTAGCAATAATAAATTACTTGGTTGACAGGTTCGTCATGGTACGAATAAGCGTAATATTATAATAAGCTCACTTTAAGCTTGCATCGAAATAAGATTGTTTTTGGGATAGAATGTACAAATGGTAGCACTCTTGACTTCTCATATAGTTTAATTTTCATTTTACATCAACGCGTCCAATGTTTGTAACAACTTATTATTTATATAATAAGAAAGCAAACACAGTAAAATATTATTATACACTCAAACGGTTATTATTAAGAACGTTATACATGACTCCTCTCAAAGAATTGTTTAGTTAATCCTTATAACAAAAAAAATATTTTTTTATAAAAACCAAATCGACTATGAACTGGCAATCGGTTATTTTGACAACTAGAAAATTTGTGGCAGGTCGATTCAGAACCCTACGATAACTCAGTTGTCGACCTTTTCTTTCATTTTTATTCACAATACCCGAATAGAACGTCAAACTGTCATATTCGAAACCGAACCGCAGTGACGTCACACCCGTACGATTACTTTTACTTGCCAAAAGGTTACAAACGTTTTTCAGAACATAGTTATCGAATCAAAGTTACCGGACGTCCTATTGTTTACAAAGCAAGAATGTAATATGGAAATCTTTTATTATTTTAAATAAAATCTGGATTTTATTAATTTATTTAATGCGAGACTAATACATTCCTATATTTTAGGCCTTTAAAGTCTTAAAAATGTATATAAAAAGATTTCATTTTTCTTATAATCTATAAAGGAAAGCTCGGAAAGCGCCTTATCCAATCGATTAAGATAAATCGGTTAAGATATCGAAGAGTTTTGAATCGTGGTCCTGGTTTATTAAATAAACGTAGTGTTCATAATTTTTATTACACATGTATGTATGGGCACTACGTATTTTTAATTAATAAATCAGATGCTATATAAATGATTTTGTCTTCTTCCTGTAAAGTTGTCAAAATTGAAATAGTACCGGTTGCCAGTTCACAGGTGAAATGGTTTTTACAATGTTTTTACAAAAATTTTTACAAAAGTACGTGGAATTACGTCTATTTGCTAAGTTTTATTGAAATATCCCCTAGTTCGCCACTATAAAGGACTTGACACTGGAGATAATAAAAATAGGTTCTCACTACGACACTACACAAAGTATATTGAGAGAAAAACGCCTTGAATTAGAGAAATAGCAAAATCAACCATTAAAGTAATTGCTCCTAAATTGAAGTTAGGCGCTATTTATGAAAATGAATCTTCATGCGTGAATACCACTCTTCGAGGTGGATGAATTTCTTCAAAATAAAATGGGACTATGGAAGTATCCCCTTTCCAACAAAAAAAGAATCATGAAAATCGGTTCACAAATACCGGAGTTATCGCGTAACATACATACAAAAAAAAGAACATACAGTCGAATTGAGAACCTCTTCCTTTTTTGAAGTCGGTTAAAAAATAAATTTTATTAAGAATCTTTTCTTCAGTAATTTCTGCAGTGGTAAAATTTATTTTAGTTTCTTTGAGTTTATTGCTTTTGATATTGAAGTAAGAAAATAAAATTCCACAAGTTTAAGAGTAAAATTTTAATAAATTTCAATAAGTCACGGTCAACCGTGCAAATGTCGTACCCTTCTACACATAAATCGTTGTAGGCACCGCCAACGGATACCTAATAAAATAAATCAAGCCCCAAAGGTAGGTATGGCCACAGGTATTGTTTAATTACATTTAGGTATGTACCTAAAGCTGACAATAATATTAAATTCCCGGATTTTCAAAAACATATTTTTCAAATCATATTTTACAGTTAAAATAATGCTAGCTTACTTAATTTTACGCCCACTCTTCAAGCGCTACATACAGCGCCACCTATTAGAGAATTTACGAACTACGACGACTCGAAGTAAGCAGCGTTGCACTTTAGGGTAACTTAAAGGAATTTCAGAACACTACTAAGTAATCGAGTAACGGGATAGATGGCGCTCAATTTAATTAATTTCAAATGTTCTTAATTGCCACCTTGTGACAAATTCAGGCCTATATTAGACTGAAGCAAAGTACTACTGCAATCATTTGTTTAAAAGAATAATTACAAGCTTTTATAAAAAAACGACCTCAAAGTTTGTTTGTCCGTTTTAACTGAGTTTTATTTTCATTGGAATTAATTACATCTACTTGCCAAATTTTTTTTAATTCGGTTAACGTAAAGTGGGTGAAATTCAATAAACCGGTTCCATCTCCCATTTAGAGGTGAGGTGAGGTACTTCCTTTCCAACAAAAAGTAACCATGGAAATCGGTTCACAAATGTGACATCAACTAATCTTGGTCTACTTTTAGATTGTAATTTGGCTTGGTCACCTCATATTAATGAAGTCAGTCGAAAAGTCCGTTTCTCCTTGCACTCGCTTAAGCGTCTCCAAAACTTTTTACCTTTTAAATCTAAGATCTATTTAGCCCAATCTCTTATTTTATGCTTCTTAGACTATGTTGATTCCTGCTATTTGTTGCAATATCTATGTATCAGATTTATCTCTGGCCTTCGTAAATTTGACCGAATCTCACGCTATCGCAATCAACTCAAGTGCCTTCCCATTCGTCTTCGCAGTAATTTGCATATTGTCTATGTTCTTTACAATATTCTTCGCAACCCTTCGTCTCCCGAGTATCTGAAAGTGCGTTTCAGCTGTCTCAGGTCCCAGGATAAGTCCTGTCGCGGCGCTGTCTCGTTATTATCCAGTTATCTTTTCCTTTCTTCAATTCCGGCTTTTATGTTCACTCCTTCACTGTTCATGCAGTCAGACTTTGGAACGTACTTCCCACTTCTGTTCACGAAAGTACATCATTAGCTAGTTTTAAATTGAGAGTTAAGGAGCATTATTTATCTACTGTTCCATCCAGTTTATAGGTGTTATATTTTAAAATATGTATTTATCTAGTTTATAATAGTTTAATGTTAACGCACACACTCAACATAGTCCCACTCTAGAGAAACCCTGTGTCGCGGACACACACATAGACAACCACAAATTACACCCAAACTCACGAGAGAAATAAATGTAAGCCCTAAAAATATTTCTCCCGACCCGGGAATTGAATTTGAGACCTCTGCGTGGCAGTCCGGCACTGTTCGGCCAAGGAGGCAGTTATTTTGTATTAGTTTTTTAAAATTTAGTTAAATATTTATATTTTAGTTAAATATTGTATTACATAAGTTTGAATTTTGTGCGTAAGCCCGTTATTACAATTACTTTGTTGTCCTGTATTTAGGTCTGCAGGAAGAAATTTCTATAAGCAGTACCTTGTGTTCGTGTTTTCCTTTTATTAAATGCATTCTGTGGTTTTTCC